ACCAGATGGAACAAAACCGTTCCTTTTTTTTTTTTTTTTTATAGTTCCATAACTGGAAAAGATGCTTCTAGCTGACGGACATGCTGCACCTCATGTATACCTCCCAGACTGCTCAGACCGTATTGTTGCAGAGTTGCCATCAGGAACTATTTCCCCCAGAACTGAATTACCTGCATCTGAGGATCTAGACGTTGGTTGATTTAGTATGCCATAAACAGAGACCACTTGGCCTGCTAAGCTCTACTGAATTAGTTTCTGACCAGGAAGCCATTTACTAGGCTGACCTCTTTGAATGGTTATTTCTCCATGTGAGCAGTCCAGTGCAACCTAGTACAGTCCAGAATAGCAAAGATCCTCTAGTACATGCTGAATTTAAAATATTCTGTCTATTATTCAGCTCTCTTACAGTGGTAATTTCAGGTGGTTATCTGCTAGCAGAGTTTTCTCACACCCAACAATATCTGAGTTTAGCAAAGCAAAGAATTGAGGCCCACATGGGAGGACCTCAAAATCTTTCTCTCAGATCCCACTTCTGAACTGCTTTTAAACTGTTCCTTGCACCATCGAGGTGTGGAAAGATTATTACCTTTGTTAAGAGATCAGTGAGCTCAAAGCTCATTTGTTGAATATCTCTATACAACATTTTGCAGGCAAAAAGTACTGAGTCTTCATACTCAATTTTTCCTCAAGTGGGTTTTGGAATTCTACCTGGATTAGACAGTTTATTTAGCTTGTGTTCTTCCTGATGCTCCATTTTGCAACGTGAGGAAAGAATATGAGTACTGTGGATCTTATGATATACGCTCTTTTCTTGCTTTTGTGGAGTCCTCAGCATTCTGGCTTCTGAATTGGTGATTTTAGGATGGATGGATTTAGCTTTTTTATGTCCTGATATTGGAACGTGGGGAGAGACACCTGACACTGCGTGGTTCCAGCTGACGGTGCTGTCTGTGAGAGACCTTGTATGTCTGAACACTAGGTACATGCAATGTCAGTTCAGCCCCAGTCCTGTGAAAATCTGTCTGATGGCATGGACTAACATGAAAAAACAGTTATGCTACATCCAACTATTGCTGTGATTATTAATCCTTTCTTCAGTACGTCATTACATTTATGCAACTTTGTGCCATTCGGTATAAATACATAACAAGAATAGCACTAAAATAAAAAAACAGCTTTTTTTAAATGGCTATAATGTTTTCAGGAAATCGTCCAAAGATAACCAATGAAAACGTAAAGCTTATCTCAATGATTGTCAGCATTTAGGGCTTTAAATTACCCTGCTCAGTGAGAGGCAGATAGTACAAATCGTAATGATACTGTACAAAACAACATTTATTTTGACAGCACCAGAAAAGAACCAGAGCATACAATTTTATGTAAAGAACAGGATATGTTTGTAGCCCAAGTATTTTTAAATATTGTTGCAGCCTTTAAACACTCCTGGGATATTTTATTTTTATAGTTTTGTAAGAAGAATTACTAGAATAATTTCTTTAAAAAAAAAAAAAGGAAAGAAACCAGCAGTGGGAATAATTAAGGTTCTGTTAAAGGTAAAACAGGTAATGAGGGGAAAATAAGGATTTGTAAACTGATTGTCCTCAAACAGTCAAGGTTAACTGGGTCAGATGCCTCATGGCATGATGTGAAAAAGACTGGCTACTGACGAACTTTATCATTTGGATATCAAGAAGAATCTTTTTTACCCTGGACTTGCATGGAGATTGAATTGTGCCTTTAGCTTTGTGGGACTTTAAGATATATTTTAAGCAAAAGAGAAAGCTGAAGAAAGAATAGAACAGAAGTCTTAACTGTGAGCATATTAAAGATGTGACCTACAAGTGCAATGGAAAAGAAAGCCATTCTTATACTTGTACTATCTGCTTAGTGTCCCTACTGACCAGGTGTTAGATACAAGGATTACTCACGTTTCATCCTTTTTTAGTAGGTCCCCTGATATCAGGTTCTGCTGCTGGTAGCTGGCTGGCCATCAATGTGTAATAATACACTGAGAACCTTGAAAGCTACAGGAAATAGTTATAACAAACTCTTTATGGACAAGTTCCTTTTCTTACTGGTGTTGTGTACAATGTCTGATCTAGTATCCAAGTGGGAACAATCCACCAGTAGCAGTGCTAAATATCACTGAACTATGAGACAAATAGTATGTCTTTTTACATATATCACAGCTTTCTCTTGAAAATCTGTTCTCCAAAATTGGGGTGCATGTATCAAACAGGGAAGTTAGTTTTATGCCTAGAATAGGAAACTCCCTGCTTTGATTCTTGCTTCACAGTTCAGCAGTTGTGGTACCACTCCAGTTGAGGGAGTTAGTTGACTTAATGGCTCATTCTGCACTCCACAGGTGTTAATGACAGTTTCTCTTTTTCAATGGTCTGGATGTTCCACCAAGCAAGTTAATTTTTCTTAGGACAGTATTGCTATCTGCTAACTGTTCCTGCAGGAAAAAAGGAGAGTAAGGCAGCCTCTGATCCTGCTCTATGTAGTCATACATATAACTATGGAAAATTCTTTTTTTCTTCGTTCTGCCTATCAAGAAGGAGGTGTTTACATCCTAAGGCATGTTAAATGCAAGAAAATATGGTATATAACACTAAAATAACTTTAAAAATATACATATTAAAATTGCCTTTTCAGTTTGGCTAAATGTCCACAAGCTAGTCACTAGGGTGTAATTTTAATACATTTTGTCTGATATGGTGTTGGCATTTTGAAAGATTCAGTATGAAAGTTTTAAAACAGTTGGAGCGAAAAGTAAACCTATATATCAACTAAAATGGTTGGTAGTAATGTCTGAATAAGAATATCATCTCTTCTCCTGTGTAGCTACAAGACTTTTTGCCTCCTTCCCTTTTTAGGTTGACTTCTGGCATCAACATATAAGGCCTGTTGACTCCTTAAGTAGGCCATGTAAGAAAAAATGTCAGATAGTTGGGATGGATGTAAAACAATAATCTGTAATTGTATTAATTTCAATACTGGGGAAAAATTTTACATGCCTTCCTCCTCCTGGTTCAAATCAGGTGCTCACTTACAATGAGGTTGCAGTGTGATTAAAAGGCCTTGCACCATATCATAATGTACTTTAAGTGCCCCCCACCTCTTTTTATGCTATGTAAAAGGGCAGGTAGCCGTAGCTGTGATGGGGTGGCTAAGACAACCTGTTTATAGAGACTTTGAGGGCCAGAACTTACTTCATGTGTAAGGCACTGAAGTGTGATTCAATACCAGCCTGCTTAAGTCCCTGAAAAGCTTTTAAAACAAAAGGTGAATGGATTCTCTTCCTCCTTGCTGATTTTTATTTATTTATTTTTTGTGATAGATTTAAGGCTGAGGATGACACCATGATGCATTAGTGGATTTTCAGGAGTTTAAACAAGGGTGGACTAGGATTGGACCTAAGCCCGTAATAGGTAGACTAGAATTTGGTTCTACATCTCCCTTTTGCTAAACGTAGATGGTCTTTCAGCAAATTCCTTTTTAATATCAGTTATATCTTGGAGCTGGTCCTTTTTAGACTTTCCTGGGCTGGGTTAGCACTTTCAGCTTCATAGTACATATTACTAAAATCTTACTGTTAATTCACCTGTGCCTCCCTAAGACGGAGGAAAGTGAAAAAGCCTGCCAGGCCTTGCTGGCTTGAGCCAGCAGAAAAAGTTCTCTGATCCCAAGGAGGTGATTGGTCAAACCTGAAGAAGGAACCACCCTGCCCCCCCCCCCCCCCAAACAAACACACCCATTTTTAACACTAAGGGGGGGGGGG